TTAATTATGAGGATGATCTAAACAAGCCAAGTTTTCTTAAAAATGCGCTAGAATTAGATGTTTTGCGTATGCATTATCTGACCAATAAGCATACAACAACAACACCAAAATATACACAAATTGCAGTTAAAATTTGCCGCGTTTTTTTTGCATCTTTCAAATTGCAATTCCTTCACCATTCAATAAATTCCCCTGCCTCTAAACCCAGATTATCTGCAAATTATGGCAATTAAGTATCCCATTTATTTCAGTTTTAGGAATGCACACAACCTGTTCGATAAAACTACCAACAGAAGAATTTCCCTCCAAGCTCCATTATTTAGTTTATACTGCAGTACATTACACCACACTGCTGCCTCTATAAAAGACCCAATTGAATTTTATGGTGAAATTAAGGATGTGGTGCATTGGACTTCAACCATTTCTGGTTTAGTGAGTCGAAACCGCCCGAAAGATGCCATTGATGTGTTCAAGTTGATGCTTTTTAATGAACAGAGGCCGAATTATGTTACAATATTGAGTGTGCTACGGTCTATTCATGCATTAAGGTGGAAGAACATCGCGTTCGGTGTTCATGGGTTGGTGATCAAGATGGGATTTGAATTGGAGATTTCAGTTGTGACTGCTTTGATTGGTGTTTATGGTAATTTTCATACCCCTTTTGTATGGAAGCTTTTCTTTGATGTACCTAAGAAGGATTTGGTCTTGGGGAGTGCGATGGTTTCGATATGTGCAAAGAGTGGTGTATATATGGGTGCTATTGAGGTATTTAGGAACATGATATGTGAAGGCATGGAACCTAATCTTGTGAGCATTGTGACTATTTTGCCAGCTTGTGCTAAGCTTGATTCACTAATATTGGGAAAACAAGTTCATGGGTTTGCTCTTAAAACATCATTTTATTATGTAAATAACATCCAAAACTCTCTCATAGACATGTATGCAAAATGTAGGAATTTCGAGTATGCAGCTCAAGTCTTTGCTCGAGTCCAAGAGAAAGATGTAGTCACTTGGAAGACGATGATTCGTGGATGCATTGAGAATGGCTACTCAAGAGAAGCATTATTTGTTTTCGCTGACATGCACAAGTCTTGCTCTGAAATAGATAATGGCATTTTCTGTGATGTTATTGGTGCAGTATCTGATACAGAAGAGTTTATATTTGGACTTGGGTTGCATTGCTATAGCTTAAGATCTGGCTTTGCTGTATCCGTTTCTGTTGGGACAGCTCTTCTGCAAATGTATGCAAAGTTTGGTGAAGTGGAACCATCTTGGTTACTGTTTGATCAGCTTCATCTAAAGGATCTCATTGCTTGGACTGCAATGATCTCTGCATATGCTCAGAGTGGTTACACGAGTGAGGCTCTAAGTACATTTCAGCATATGCAATCAGCAAGTGAGAAGCCTAATGAGGTCACTTTTGTCAGTTTGCTACAAGCTTGTTCTTCATCAGGCACTCAAGAGCTTGGTGAAAACATCCATGGTTATGTAACTAAAGCTGGTTACTTGCATAATTCATTCTTAATCTCAGCTTTAATTGATTTATACTGTAAATTTGGAAAAACAAAGGAAGGAAGAGCACTCTTTGACAAGTGTTCAATCAAAGACCTGATAATATGGAGTTCAATGATTAATGGGTATGGATTAAATGGTTGTGCAAATGAGGCTTTGGAAATTTTCTCAAACATGTTGGAAATTGGAGTAAAGCCTAATGATGTAGTTTTTGTATCGGTCCTGTCTGCCTGCAGCCATTGTGGGTTAGAAGACGAGGGATGGCACTGGTTTTATTGCATGCAAGAGAAGTATGGAATTGTGCCAAAAATTGCTCATTATGCTTGCATGGTTGATTTGCTTAGTCGCCAAGGAAATGTTGAAGAAGGTCTTGATTTTGTATACAGTATGCAAGTAGAGCCTGATAAGAGAATTTGGGGGTCTCTTCTAGCTGGATGTAGATTAACTCATGTATCAATCACTGTAGTAGAACGTGTTGCTGAACACCTGATTAGATTAGATCCAGAAGATATAAGCTGTTATGTTGTTTTGTCGAACTTTTATGCAGAAGAAGGTAGATGGGATGATGTTGAGAGGGTAAGAAAATTGATTGATGATAAAGGAATGGAAAAGATGACAGGATACAGCACTGTTTGATTTTATTATACATCAGCTGCTGGATATGTTACAATTTCATAGAAGGTATATCCTCTATTTTTATACCCTCCTCCGAAAGAAGAAAATATCTTTTTGAGAAGATACTTGTGAGTTTGTGACTAGCACTACAAGCATTTTGAATACTTTCTTTCTAGTTCTCAACTTTTGAGTGTTTTTTTCTGTCAATTGATTACTGTTGTAATGTTATTCTGAAGTCTAAACTCTCTTGAAATAACACCTCAAATTTTAGAGATTTAAATCGTTGGGCTAAACATGGTATAAGTTAAAATATCTTGCCCTTGAATTCTTGCCATGCAACATAAATTGATGACTATTGATTCAATCCTGAAATCACCTTATAAAAGTTCCTTGATATGATGAAGCTTTTGCAAGAGCTTTCAAAATTTTTCTAAATGTTCTTCTATTCTTATAAAAATTATAACTTGAATGTGCTAAGAATGGGTTTCTTATTACTTTACTTTCCCATGTTTTATAACAAGTATTAACCATAATTATTTATGTTATGGAGTACTACCCTCAGTAAATGTCATGTTAATTAGGAGGATTGTTATGTTTAAACTTGAATGATACTAAATTAGACATTTATTGCTCATTTATTTCTTTTGAAGTTATGAAGAACAAAACTCTTCTTATCATATATTCCAGCAGAATATTTAACTTTTTTTACTAGCCAGGGTTTTTTTCACAATGGAAGGTGGTATCCTTGAAGTACTAGTTGTTAATGCAGAAGGAATCAAACCAAGAAATTTATTTGGTAAGGCTTCTCATCTTTGTGAGAAGCATGATTTTTCTATTATAGAGCTGTTTCTTAGGACGTTTTAGGTTGGAAATATTTATATGTTTAAATTTTGAAACAATTCTGATCTTATTTGGATTGTTGTTCAACTGATGTTATCTAATTCTTTGTTCCTAGGTAAACCGGCCTATTATGTAGTTATACAATGTGGCACTGAAGTGAGGAGGAGCAAGGCTACCAGAGGTCTTAGTCAAATTTATTTGAGCTCATACTTAATAATTTTTTTGTCGTTGTAGTTAACCATAAACTCAATGCTGAAAATTACAGGTTATCACCATGAAGCTTTTTGGAATCAGAAGTTCGAGTTTGACTTTTCATTTTCTGAATGGAAGAATTTGACTCATCTGGAAATCAGTATAATGGATGATGAATCTTTCAACGATACTGGATTTGTTGGTCGTTCTATGTATGTTAAAAAACACAACCTTCATTCACTTGTCTGATAAAGTCTCATGGTTTCAGTTCCTTTCCTGTGATGCAGGATTTTTCTGGGTGGGATTATTGCAGAAGGAAATGACAGGGGAATCGTCGAATTACATCCTTCAGCATATAATGTTGTGCATGAAGACACCACATACGAAGGAGAAATTAAGATTGGGCTTAAATTCGAAGTTTATGTGAGTACTATTTTATTTTCCTGTTTTAATTCAGGGCCGGAATTTAGGTAGGAGGGGCAGTAATGTACCACTCCTTTCCTCCTCTCTTAAATTGGTCCCCCTTAGCTAAAAAGTTGTGTTTGGTCCATCCCAAAGGTAGTAAAATTATGGTTCTGCCACTGTTTTGATTACCTCAAGTGCTTTTCCAACACTTCTATGACAATCGATTGTTGCTTGTATGCAGAAAGAAGGGCACAAAGCGACCAAAGAAAAAACTGTGCAGGTTACGGAAGCTGGCCATGATGTCTATCGAAGTTTGTTTAGAGCTTTAAAGATATCGTGGTGGCGAGTACTTTTTCCCTATGGTCCATATTGAAGCCAGGCAAGTACTGAAGCTAACAAAGGCATAAACTGTTACTGAAATCATATACATTTAGGAAGATGGTTAAGGGGTTATTTGAAGGATCTCCCAAGCATTAGATTTTAAACTGCAAAGGTGCAATATTCTTTGTGATCTACTAGTTCTAAATTGTAACACTTATAAAACGTTTAATATCCATAACCTCTCTATCTGTCAACATCACATTGTCATTTCATTGTCCGTTATATACGTACTTTTGTACCATCCTAATGTAAATTTGATTAATAAAGTATACCCTTAGCATTGTGTTGCTTGTGCTGTCTGAAATAGCAAAATCTAGTTAGCTCAAAAACAACTTCTTCTCTTTTATTTATTTATTACAGTATTATTTTTTTTTTTTCTAAACAAACAAAAATCTGATATATGGGCATAAACCTACAAACATTCATGGAATGCACGTCTTCATCACCACCTCTGCTCTTCATATTTTTTTAAAGATTGCCTGAAATTAAAACCTCCATGTGTGCGCATAAATTACGTATTGTGTTACTATTTTAATATATACATAGCATATAGATACATTATTTACGCATATAATTTATTTTATAATATATCAACTTCCAAATATATAAGGAATATATAATTAACTCAAGTCATAAAACATGCAAGTTTACACATGCAATTTTTTCATTTTCATCCCCATAACCAATAATATAGAAATACAGCTTGACCACTCCTCAACCGCAATCCTCATACATAAATTATGTTAATTAAACTCTAATTGTCTAATCATCGTCCAATAGCAATCCTCCAAAGGCTAATAAATTATATTATCAAAGTTGACCATATATATTAGGATGATATTGACAGGTAATTTAGCCCTAGTTAATATCTGCACAATCTTGATTTTGTGATTATAATCTTACTGATTCAGAAAAATATAATTGTATACTACTAATAATAATATACTACCCCATAAAAAATATTAACATAATTCTGTGCTAATTCTCCCTCATATATACTTCATGTCACGTATATTTTCAGAAATTTAGTGCATGTTCTCTCAATACTCATTCAACTCATTGACAAAAAAAAAGGCCCTGTTTTTAGTGTTTTCAAACCCTCTTGCAGGCCATTTTTTTTTCTTTCTCCCGCAAAATTATTCCAAAATTTGAAGAACATTTTCCAAGATTTGATCTGGGTTTGCCTCATTTTAGACTACACTGCAGTCGAATCGTCGAATTTTAGGCCTTTATGTGGTCAAAAATATGGTGAATGTGTAAGAGGAAATGAGCTAACTAGCATGCTTAGATTGTGCTCTTTTTCCAGGAAAGCAAAGGTCTTCAGAACAGGGGAAAAAAAAGTAATGTACTAATTGGGAGGGAACTATTTCAAAAACCCTCATTTTACTCTTCAAATTCAAAATTTTTGGCAATTAAAGGTAACATTTTATTTCATAATCTACTTTTCTATTTTCTTTCTAAATTACCCTTATTAAAGAATTGTATTACTCTTTTTTTGTAACTTTTACCTTTTTTTCTCTTCACAACTTTCACTTGAATTCTGCTGTTAATGACAAGGACACAAGATTAGACCTTTTCCTATGCTTTTGTGTTGTTTACAAAAGAATTCTAGTTGCAGTAGTAAAATTTGAATTTCATTTGAGTTTTTTTGCAGCTTTTTGTTTCAATTTTTTGGGTTTAATGTTTACACAAAAATTGTCTATGGGGGACTGCAGATTAAGGTTAGGTAACTTTTGCTTCCAAGGAAGTATAACAGAAGAAATCATGGAGAATTCATTAACAGATGAGAGTTATGATCTGGGTTATGAGGCTTCACCATCATCTTTCGATCCCAACGATCATTCGACAAATTCTCCCATGAGTACTGTCTCATTTAATTACTGCAGGACTAATTCAGAGATGTCAACCTTCTCTGAACCAAATGATAGCTGCTCCGAGGGTGCGTCCCCTGTCAGGTGGCACCCGCCCAGGGCCGGTACCCCTCCTATGGCTTCACCTTCTAGGCTTGGAATGAAGAAGTACATGTATAGCATTGATTCAGGGCTTGATGAATTAGAGGCAGTAGATATAGGTATGTTTCAGGTCTTATGATCACAGCATAATCTTTGCAGTTTTCTTAGAATAATTCAACTTTGTTTTGTTAACTGGCCTTAACTTTGGGGATAAAGCTGATATGGGATTTTACTTTTTTGTGCAAATTTTAAGAGCTTGAGATTATGAAAGAAAGATTTTCAAAGCTTCTACTGGGTGAAGACATGTCAGGAAGCGGGAAAGGTGTATGTACTGCAGTCACAATCTCTAATGCCATTACTAATCTCTATGGTATTGTCCTCAAACCCTACAACATAAAGTCTAGGCAATATGTGCAACATACTTTGTATAAGAAAGTTGTGGACACTTTTGTTTTACTTCAAAGTGTTTAAGTTTGAAGTTTGTATTGAGTATGTTGCACATACCAGTAAATCATTATTTTCCACCAAATTTTATTGATTATCCTGCCTTGTAATGCTAAACTATGTGATATATGAACCAATACATGCAGCTACTATATTTGGCAATGCTTTGAAGTTGGAACCAATGAAACCGGAGAAGAAGATGATGTGGAAAAAAGAAATGGATTGTCTACTGTCAGTGTGTGAATACATTGTAGAGTTTGTTCCTGAGGACGAACATGATATTGAGGCAAGTAAATTTCTACATTGCATAACACCTAATATAAGTAGGAAACTAAGTTTTGATTGAATGGTTGTAATGAAGAAAGATATGTTTAAATATTTTGCAGGTAATGTGTACAAGGCCAAGGACAGATATTCAAATGAACTTGCCTGCACTAAGGAAACTTGATGGAATGCTCATGGTATGATATATATGCCTCTATCGCCATTCATATTGCAGCTACTGAATCTGTCATTCCCTACTATTATACAATAAGAAAAAAAAAACTCAGTACTACGTATTTGCTGTGTCACAGGACATTTTGGACAGTTTCGAGGAAAAAGAGTTTTGGTATGCTGAACAGGGTAACGCGTCTATGAATTCAACATCGAGAGCAACCTCATTCAGGAAGGTTGTTGCACGAAAAGATGAAAAATGGTGGCTGCCAATCCCCTGTATCCCACCGGGTGGCCTCTCCGAAACTGGTAGGAAACATTTAAAGCACCAGCGTGATTGTGCCAATCAGATTCACAAAGCTGCCATGGCCATCAACAATAACACTCTTAATGAAATGGAAGTACCGGAATCTTACATTTTAGGGCTTCCAAAGGTACTTTCCCATTATCCTACTAGATGCAAGTAACATTGAGTAACAATGAAGCATGAAACACCGACAATTTTTACTGTCATATCTGATGGCACCTTTTGTTGTTTAAATTGTTTCAGAGTGGAAAATCTTGCCTAGGAGATGCTATATACAAGTATATGCACAATGCAGAATTTTTCGCCCCTGATCACCTCCTTGATACATTGAAGATAACCTCGGAACATGAAGCACTTGACCTTGCTGACAGAGTGGAAGCCTCCATGTACACATGGAAACGCAAGTCTGGAATGACACATTCGAGATCATGGCATGTGATGAAGGATTACAAGTCAGAACCGGACAGGAATGACAAGAATCATGTTCTTGCAGAAAGAGCTGAATCTTTGCTGTTTTTTTTAAAACATAGGTTCCCTGAACTATCGCAGACAACATTAGACACATGCAAAATCCAATACAATAGGGTAAATTTTACTGCTCTTCACAATAGGGACATCATAATATAGAGAGAAAACATTCGTAAATGATGGTAAATGAACTCTTTGCAGGATGTTGGCCAAGCAATCTTAGAAAGCTATTCAAGAGTGCTGGAAGGTTTTGCGTTCAATCTTGCTGCTTGGATTGAAGATGTACTTTCTGCAGACAAGTTGATGAAAAATCAAGAACAGTAGAAAACATAAATACTCTCCAAGTACCAGAAATTTCTGCCTATTTTGCTTCTTCACAGCACGTAAAATATTCATCACATGAGGTCGACAAGGCTAAGAGATGAACACAATTCGCATATGTACATCTATGATCAACACCAAAATTAGCACATTAGGTCTTTTTTGCAGTTTAAGTTGAATGGTGCACCAAGAACTACTATCGCTGAATCTAATGTTCTTAAATATAGCATATGACTCTAAAGTTGCAAGTCATTGCCTGAATACTTGTACATATTGCTAAGTCCAAATGATCAATTGAAAAAATGTGCAGAGTCCTATTCAACTCCACTATGAAAACAGTCAAAGTTCAATTGTCAAATTCAAGTCTAACTTGTACAATATTTAGCTTTGTTATAGTACGAATCGATTAAGATTATCTAGTTCCATTCATATATTTAATCAATCAAATTTCAACACAAATTCTCGAGTACAATTGTATGTACAGAATAATTAGTGTGACTTTACTTTGCAAATAATCAGGTAAGATACATCAAAATTTTGTGATAACCAATTTCACCAAATTGCAAAGAATAACAGATCACCCAGAAACTTAAGATATTTAACTGACACAACAATACAAGATAGTAATATATAAAAATCAAAAGACAAATATAGCACAAGATTCCTTCATAATTCTGCCCCAATTCCAAAAGCATTAAACTTTTGTTAATATTTTCACATAATACCCAAAACCCAAAAAATTCCATGGGTTATCCTAAGTTATAACCTCAAATCTAGCAAATTTATACAAGATTTGTACCAAATAAAAGATGGGGTAAAACCCTAAAATAATATAATTAAGAATTAAACATCAGTAAGAGAAGCCCTGGTGAGAATCTTGGGAATAGGGAAAGGATTTAGAGGAGGAGGAGAAGCAGCAGATTTGAAAGCTTCAATCTTTGATTTACATTTGGTCTTATCACCTTAGTTGTCTTCCAAACACTTCCTTAAAACTTCTGCATCTGTTAATGAAGATGGTTTGTTTGCCTCATTGGGAGATTTTCTATTGGCACTTTCAGAAGTCATGTTTTTTTTGTGAATGGAGTTATTGGAGACTTGGAGTAGTTGCCACTTCCAATTTCCAAATATACGTTTTTAATCTTGAATGTTCCATTGATAATTGGATAATTTTTGTAGTTTAAGTCGAACCAATGTTCCAGCAATAATTGTTATAGCCCAATAGCTGAATTTTATGTTGTCAGATATATCCTATGGTTCTAAAGTTGCATGACATTGCCTAAATACTCCTACATATTTTTAAATCCAAATAATTGATTAATTGAAAAAGATGAGCAGAGTTCAATTAAAAATTAGGAGTTTAACCCCATTAGTGGCTGGACTGATTACAAATTTAATTCTCTAAGATTCCGTTAGGATTGGTTGATGGCTTTGATTTGGAACACTTGTCCAAACCCTTTAATATTTGCTGGTACATGTGATGGATTCTTGCAGGTAATTTAAATTTAACATAGATATTGATTTACTTAACTGTTTGAAATGAACGTTATATTTGAGGAATTTTGTAAAAAATTAGCTAAGAAGCCCCAAACTGAAAATTGTGGGAAATTCCGCAACAAATGTTGGTGACATTACATAGTAGATTTTGAAGTGGAGAGCTCGCTCACAATCAAAGATCCTAAAGGAGAATCCGCCAGCGTTTGTGAAGATGTACAGAAAATGTCCAATGAGGCTTTGATGCTCATATTATAAATGGATGCAGCATTAAGTTTAGGGCTGTGATCAGGGGCTATAATTTCTGGAGAATGAGCTAACACTTTGAATATCTAAGAAGTTAGGCAAAAGAAAAATGGCAAATAGCCATATTCAGGCCCATGATCTACAATGGCATTTCTTCAATGCTGAGTTCAAAAGTCATAACACCTATGCCCCGGCTATATTCTACAGTATAGATAGCTACCAGCCAGAATATCTGGTGACTTGGTGAGCATAGTACTCAGGGCATCAGAGGAGAAGAATGGGACAAGATATTTCAAAAAAAAAAAAAAAAAAAAAAAAATTACAGAGCAGAGATTTTGCCGAGCTCAAGCAATCACGGTCACCATTATATCTAATTATATACAAGCCTCCGACCCGTGCTTGTGGCGGTGGTGTTCATAGGTTAGTTAATGAAGCAGACTTCAGATAAGCAGCCACCTTGGCACTTGGGCAGGATAAAAATTCATAGCAGCTTACACAGATCCTCAGCCCTCAGGCCAACAAGTAGCAAGTATTCCACCTGCTTTCTGGCCCTCCAATCCGAGTGAAGAGGGCAGCAACAAGAAAGATAATTGCCTTCTTAATGCACCATGAAAATCATTGATTTTTTTCTCTGAAGGATCTGCTCATTCCGGGACCAAAATAAATTACAAGGTCAAGTAGGATCAGCTATCGTCATCCACAGCACCAATGTATGTGAGATCAGTCCGTCTCACTCTAACAGCTCCTTTCAACCAACTGGATGCTCTAAGGTTAGCATGGTCACCACCACCCATAACTGCAGTGTTACTAGAAGATGAGCCTGAACCTGCCCCATCTTCCAAAAGCATCCATGGGTCAACCTCCAAATCGTTATCAGGTTGAGAGACAGCTGATTTTGACTTTCCAAGCATGGCAGTAGATGTAGCAGTGCGCACAGACGGCAGTATATTCTTTGGCAACGGACTTGCTTGGTTAGAAGGAAAACTGACACTGGGCTGAAGTGAAGCAAGAGCAGTAGATGCAAGAGAAGGCGGCTGGCAAGAGATAAAGGTTCGTGGGTTGGGTACAACAACTGGCATAGCTGCTTGAATACGCCATCGTATTGCATCTGGCAAGTGCATCCGATCCAACTCACTCTGCAATAAGCAAACAGAAAAAAAAGATGAAATGATACCCCTAGGATACACCTTGATATCAGATATACACTCAGAAAAAACATTATATCAACCAATGGCAAATGGCACTAGCATTCACACAGAATATAAACAAAAACTACAAGTCACATGCTGGCCCCTTCGCTGAGCATAGTTACTTGATAGATGAGCTCAGAATACATGACCCCTTCACCCCTCAGGGTAACCTTTAATCCAAGGAAGTACAACACAATAATTACATGCAGCAACTAGTTGAATAGGTCTGTTTCTCCAGTCGCTAACTAGCTCCGATTGGCAGGAACCAATTTGGAGCAATTGATATCACATGGTTTTCTGGTAATTTTTCCTTTCAAAAGAAAAACCATACATACATACCTTAATAAATATACCCATTTCTCCTACATACCTTAATAAATATACCTTAATAAAGAAATGAAACGTTTCTTTAGGGGAGGAGGGAGCAAAACATTTAAGTTAAGTGCATCCTTATTGCATCTTGCATCAAATAGAAGTTGACCAGAAACAGCTTCAAAGATTTATCCTAGCTCTCTTGAAGAATACAGACTGTTTCTGGTTTCATACAGAACCAATAATGTGTCAACAAGTCATCTATTAGTAACTTTCACACATCTTCACCTACCTATTAGATTGTTTCACCCTTATATATGAGTTACAAATTAATTGCTTTAGAAAGAAAATGGCCGATTCAAGTCTTTTGAAAAGGCAATTTATTAAAAACACATAATACATCAAAAGGTAACATGGAAAGGCTAACAATTAGCAAAGGTGATTTTTGAATGAACTCAGCATGATGGGAAGAAAATCAAAGGAGAGAGGGGCTCAGTTATTAAAACACAAAAAACATGCCAAACACAGACATCATGGAAACAACAAACCAGTAACCACAGCAACACAAGAACCAAACCTGTAAATTCTCTAAGATCTCACGATCAAATCCAGCAAAGTCTTTCGAGGACACAACAGTTGACTTTGAGAGAGATTTTAATCTGAGCCAACTGGGTTGAGAACTGTTCAGCAAAGCATGTAATACTAGCAATAGCCAATCAAATAAATTCTTCCCTGACAAATCCAAAGAAACATCTGCACAAGTTTCCATCTGTAACTCAGAATCTTTCAGTGGCGATCCCCGTCGAGGATTGAAAGACATGTCCACATCTTCATAAACAACCCTACTTCCAAGAAGACGGAGTATAGCTGATGCAAGCATAAACCTTGAACTGCGACCAGACGAATCCCTGGAAAATCCAATAACTGACTGAGAAAACAGCAACAGAAAATGAAGTGCATTTCACAAATAACAGAACAGAACACATAGTAAAGGCAATTGCCTCCAGGTTAAGCTACACCCACAAAGCCACATCATCCACAAGCACCCTCTTATTAACAATATGCAAGGGGTCAGCCAACAGTTTGCTAAAATACTCATGTAGCCACATTACAGTATCTACTTAGAAATCTTATGTTCTGAAGCATTTCTAATAATTTTGAAGACTACATAAGAACGTTTCATTTTTTTAAAAGGGAAAATGTTAAAACAATAACTTTCAATTGAACACAAAAAGGATGAAAGTTCAACATGCAAAGTACAGATGTAATACAGTACCAAGAAGAGAAAAGGCATTTACCCATCCGCACATATAGAAGGAAGCAATCTCACAAGTAGCTGTAGTCGCAATGATATTGATGCTCGCAGAGCTAAAGGAGAAGACGGTGCTGAATCAGTTGTTACTGCTGCTGCTCGTCGGGCTAACCCAGGGCTACTTCCTTTCATGCTCTTTCTGGTACTACTTTTGCTAGTAAAACCTTCAGACCCAGAAGGAGATGATCCTGTCTGTTTACTGGACCCTGAAGTAAACCCACTTATTTGTTGCTCAATATTGTTCATCTGCTTAATAAGCTCACTTGCAAACCTATTGCGAGAATCATCAGGACTTCGATCAATGCAAGGAAGAACCAATTCCATAAGAGCTCTCTCCGTCACAAACTGTTGATTGGAGTTGAGGCCTTCACGATTTGACAGCTTTGAGGCACCTCTGGCATTTCTTTTATAGTCCTCCTCAACCAGTTCACCTTCTTCCACAGATGGAGTTTCAAATCTCCTTTTGTCTCCCCGACTTCCTATAGCGTCAGAATTGGAATTAGCCCAGCCCCAGGGCTTCGAGAACTGGGCCTTAGTAGAAATAGCTTTAGAATCTGCAAAGTTCACAAGCCGCTGCCTTATAGATTTCTTTCCAAAAAGCACATCTTGTCCTTCTAGAAACCATTTAACATGTAACAGCAATGAATCTTCCAATGACCTTCCAAAAAGACGTACTACTTCTGAAAAGAGTGGAGCAGCATCTGGCCTCACCAATAACCTTGTAAGGACAATCGGAATGAAATTGCTCTCATTTTCCAAAGAACCACCCTTATCAGGATTAGGTGTAAGGCAACGGATAGCCTCAGCTACTGATACTGTGTCATTGGAGGAATCTAGTTTATTGATAAGGGTTAGCTCACTAAGAAAAAGCCTAAGCTCAACCCACTGCCAATGAAATTTAGCAGGCTGCAAAGTATCCAAAGCACTAACAAGCCTATCAGAAATATTTGTTTCACTCTCCTCATATTGAACCTTTGCATCACTAGTCCCAGATAATCGACCACCATCATCCTGCAAAGACACAGAATGTGGTAGTTTACAGTCAACTAATGCATTCAGAAAAAGCCTAGCGCGCAGAGGGATAAAAGCTTTGGCCTTTAAAAGCCTGTCTGAACCATTCAGCTCTAAAATGGATGCAAACTCAGCATCTGTAGTATCAGAAGTCACGATATCAAAGAAACCATGAGTATCTCTTAGACATATATCTCGAAAAGGTGCATGTTTTATTGCATCGCCTATAGCCAAGGACAAAGACTGTAGCAATTGAGGAATCTCTTCACGACCTCCTGGGGTGAAACTGAAGATAAATGGCCTCCATATCATAAATGCAAACAAAGAATATGCTGGAGGTAACACAAGGTTAATAGGAAGTGTGCGCTGCATCCTTGAAAGAGCAATCACAGAGGGTTCACCTAGAAGCTCTACAATTACACCATCAGACACTGCTCTACAATTTCCAACAAGTAGCCTAAACCAATGAATATAAATTTCAAGTGCATTGTCTATTTTGAGGGCCCCAGCTGATCTTGCATTCCCATTTGAGTGGGTCCGAGAACTCCTAACAAACTGAACCAAATCCAAACCATCTCTAAGCCTGAAGACTGTTACCATTCTCTCCAGGCTAGAGACCCCGTGGATAATTGCCCCAATGATAAGAGCTGACACAGCTGCAGAAATCTTTGTAGCCCTTCCAACAGCAACTTTTGTGGAATTATTAGGTACTTCATTTGACAAATTCACGCTAGAATCATGAGCGTCGGGTGACACATGATATTGACCTCGAGCATTCTTACCTGGCAAAAGGACTCCAGCAAGAGCAGAAGAAGCTTCTGTAGCAAGAGCTATTTCAAAAGCACGACTATGCCTCTCACCAAGTGCTTCTTTGAGTAAACACAGGCAATTTATATGTATCCGCAAAACTCGGCGAGCAAAACTCAGTGACCCAGTTGGAGCAGGAAAGTTTGAATGATTACTGACTGATGTGAAATCTGGCATTTTAGCTATAGCTGGCCCAACATTGCCAACGATTGCAGAAACAGCAGAAGAAACCAAAGCAGGATCCCCTTCTTGAGCAGCACCACCAGTCTGCCTAATACAATCAATGAGCCCAACAACAATTTGCTGAGCAATTTGATACCCATCATCCCATTTGTCTATGCCAGCATTCTTTTGAGCACCAGGCCCAAAAAGCTTTCTCTCCTTGCCAAAAAGGTGACGAACTGCTTCTTCAACACATCTTTGCACAATTTCTCGCATACTCATACCCATTCTAGACGAACGGTTACTACTAATTTTTTGGCGGATAAAATCGTCAAGATCCTCAACACCAGCTGGAACTGCAAAAGAAAAACCAAATTCTCCATTTTGCAATTTTCCGGATTCAAGTTCAGAAAGGAGTCTTTTGTCACAAGTTGCCTTAAAACTTTTCTCCCATTCTATTACACTGCTAACATTGCAATATTTCTTCAGCAAATATCTAGCATACAGAAAGGTTGGTGAACCGGAAAGCCTGCCATTGGAGCCTAAAACTGCTGCAACACGATGCATTGTGCTTGACAAGATTTCAGGTAAAAGATCCACAGCAAGAATTATGTTCTCATACCTAAAACAGGTAAACAGTAAAAAAGAGGAGAAAAAAAGAAAAGAAAAGAAAGCAGGTTCAGCAACAAGATACAAATAAAATAAAGTCTGAGCACACAGAAACAATATAAAACATCTTTAACCATACATCCTTCTTCAAATCTATTTTTACCATGGATAAAAAGAGGGATAAAATTTTGCAGCAGCAATAACGGGAAAAATTTACAAAATGAATACATATAATACAGAAAAGATATAATAGTAAATAACACCATTTTCTGGGCAAATACAACAACAGATCTTGTATGCCCCAGATTTATTCAAAAAAATTCAAAAGAGAACAACAAATGTAGACGCCTACAATTATATAGCTCAAGTATTCAATTGACCTGGTGTGGAACAATCCCATCGTGATATAACTATTATTATATACTAAGAAAGGACAAGACAAGGAATAGTAAAATTACTTCCTTGAAAACATAAAATGGAAGACAGAACAAAAAATTATAATTCCTTCATTTCCATGTTTGTCAATACCCTACTTCGAACATTTATAACTTTAATGATTCTTTAATCAAAAAATAAAAAAATATTATATTTTGAATATATAACGAGATTATCTAAACAACAAATAAAATAATGATATTTATTACTATTAGTAATAGAAAATGGTAGAAATCAATATAGAAATAGTGTGTTAAGTGAAAATGATAAAAAACACTTGAAAAATTGAGGAAGTAGTGAGATTATTTAATGTTAAGCAAAAGGACAGTAAAAAAAAAATAATAATAATAATAATTTAATTAAATAAGATAAAATTTAAAATCAAAAAAATAAAAAAACCATTTTAATACAGAAATTAGACAACTTCAACACAAAGTTCAAGGTCACATTACAATAACAATATAGCAGAAAAGACAGTCATGAGATGAGAATAGGAAAGAACCAAATGTTTTGTCCATTTATCCATGCACAAGTATAAAGCACAACACATCCACTAACAAAATTAATAATATACTCAACACACCTCCGTATAGCTGACAAGAGAAATGGTTCCTTCACTTCGCATGCATGGCTTTCCACATTTCTAGGCAGCACCATCATATTTCTTCCACCATGTATAGGGGCATTAAGATTACCTAGAGCCTTAGGCAACAGCCAAACAAGAAAACTGATTGCCAAAGGCACTTCAGTGCACATGTCCATCAAATAAAGTATGACAGACAACTCATCCTCACCAAGCTTCCACTTTGCTGAGCTCTTTTCATCAACAGAAGATAAAGACCGATTAACCTGACCAGCCTTGGTTGAAGTTCTTTCTGTTTCCTCAACAACCTGCTTGACATAACTAACTAGCCAAGCAGAAATGCTCCTCTTCTCAGCATATTTCAATCGCTTTAGCTTTTTACCAATAGATACAATATCTGTGCCACTGATTGCCCTGTTGCCATCAGCAGATTTTTCAGCATCTCCTTCCGGAACTGGCCGATGGTGAGGACATCCCACCTTATTGTCACATACATGGCTTGTAGATGCTCCCTGACTTCCCTCAATTCTTGATGCAGCTAGTTGAGCCAGACTTTGTGTTTTACGCACAGACTTCTGTCGACCTCTCGAGGCTTGCTTGCTCGGCTTGATTGGTTGTTCTACTTTAAGGGAATCCACGGATTTTGGCTCCTTCCTCACCCACCAACTATCTTCATCGTCTAATGGGTTTGAAGAGGGTCTATGAAGAAATGAATATTTTTCTTCACCTATTTTTTGTCTCTTTGCCCTTTGACATTCTTCACAGCCAGGTGTTCCATCTGCAATGTCTAGCTTACCTGAAATGAGTCCAACAGACCTTTTCATGTTTACTTGAGATTCATCAGCTCCAGCATCAGCAGCAGACTTCGGCAGGAGCAACAGCTCCAGAATAGAGAGTTTCAATTTCTCTAGGTCAAGACCATTTTTCTTGCTCTTATTATAAGACACGGCTGACAAAGTCTGTGGTGTTTTCAACTGGTATATGGAAGGAGGTAAAGAATGATCCCTTTGAGAGATTTGATTTTCTTTCTGCTTCTTTGGTGCATAATTAGTACTTCTAATTTGCTTGTGCTCATCAGCAAGCAATCCACGAAGAAGAAGGCACCTTTCATTAGAGTATACATGTATTGCTTCCAGAAGTAGTGATCTGTCAGCACTCTGTGCTTCATCAAAAACATCAAGCATACATGAAACTGAAAGTTGTTTCAAGATCCGAAAATGTCTCTTGCGTCTGTCTGGATCAACAACGGGACCATTTTTGTCCATAATTCCACTAACTAAGAGCTGCCTTGCATATGCCAATGGAGAAAAAATTCCAAAGCGAGTGAGCTCGATGAGGAGTAACTGTACACGCTTAGAACCTTCCCCTTTTTGAGCATCATGTTGATCCAACCAACATATTATAATGTCATGTAAGGGGCCAGGGCTTTCAAAATAATCTGATGTTTCAATGCAGGTAAATTTGTCATAACTTACATCAGCCCTACTTTCAGAACCTTTCTTTCCTTTTTCTGACCTCTGTATCTCCCTCATCTTTTGCTTCATGAGCCTAGTAGCAATATAAAGTTGAGAAAAATCTTTTCTCCCAGTAAATTTTACATCATGAAAAGATGACGTTCTAAAATCCCTGAAATCACAAGTACACCATTCGCAAAGCAAAAACACGGAATAAACTAATGGAGGACCAACATATCTTATCCATTTTAACGATGACCTTAAGCATGGGCTTACTTCGCCAATCCAACCTTCATGAACAGAGGAGTCAGAAATACCTTCAAAGAGTAACTTATAAGCCTCTTGGACATCTCCTAGCACAAGAGCTTTATCTAAGGCTTGCACAGCTTTAGCAACATTCTGCCCAGAATAGCCAGGGCTGGCAGCCTTTGCCAAATAAGTTGATCGTTTCTTGATCGACGAAACTACACGCCTAAACCAAGATGATGGATGTTTGACATCAAGACGGTTGTTAGTTATAACATGCGAAACCCCTGCAGAATCATTCTTTGGGTGTTCAAAACACACAGGTGACTTAGAATGATGTGACACACCACTTTCTGCAGACATCATCAGACAGCGCGGCAAGGGAAAGCAATCCAGACCAACAAAAGTATCCGGTACAGACAGTATTAAATATTGAAGCATCTCAACAAGAGCAGAACAAGTATATGCTCTTCGAGAATTATCCACCGGATCAGAACAGCCTGTGGAAGCTTCCTTGAGAAAACGCAGAGTGACTTCAACAAGTTTGCGCACATATGTTTGACATGTAGTAATGGTTTCCAATACTCCATAAATTATTGGCAGAAGGAACTGCATGACCTTGAGTAAATCTTTATCCTACAATGAACAAAGGAACAAAGTTTTAAAATAAGACAGAAAATCAATCAAATCAGATAGCTTACTATAATATTAGGTGGGTATGTCAGAAATCTAAAATTTAATTAAAAAAAGAAAAGCACCTGAAACTGCAAGAATACCCAGTCAATAACTTGAGAAGGAAGAATAAGTCCTTCTGCATGGTGCCAATGAAGAATACGCACCACATACCACCACTTAGTATGCAATGACGGCTCCTCAGAATCCAAAGCCGATGAAACTTGATCACTTTTTTTTTGCACTGACCCTGCATATAGCATTTGTTGTGATCGATCCCTATTTTGAGGGATGGAATGAGAACTATTCCTTGGGAATAACTCATCCAGAATATACTGCAAGTAATCAGTGACATCCTTTGTCCAAATCTCTGTACGCGATAACTGAATTCGGTCAGGAGACCCACTGGAGACACTTGAGGATCCAGGCCTAATCTGCAAAATTTTAAATGCAGGATGACACATTATAAAATATAAACTGAAAGACTGCTGTGAAGTCAAGTGGAAATAACAATGATATGCATCCCATCAATAGAGTGTGTTAACAAATTTAGGCCAACAATATCAGAATATCAGGATGCACTCAAAATGCTAGCAACGGACAACAATTCTGACCAATAAGCATAACACAAAACAATCCAAAATATACAAAAACTGAAGTGCATTCAAAAATTACGTAGGAATATTTTATGTAGAAAGGTAAAATAATTAAATTATGACACGAAAATTTGGGGACATATAGGAGTAATTTTTTTATTCGAAAATAACTAAAAAATAAAATTAAAAAATAATAATAATAAAAAAAAAAAAAAAGCACAACATTTTAGGAAACCCAAAAAGTAATATAAGAGTTAGAATATGGGACGGAGTGAGCATATTTTTTTTAACTCTTTTATTTGTTTTCTCTTTATTCCAACTATGGACCACATATAGACAAAAGTAAACTTCTATATTACCCCAATAGCAATAATAATAATTTCCAAACTTCAACTCATAAAAAGTTTTCCATTTTAAGTCGAACATTATAATATTTAACAATAAATTTTGCTGGTTAAATCTTAGTAAATGTTTTACTCATTTAAATCAAATGTGCAAATTTCACAACCAGTTGGTTTTACCCATTTAAGTCAAACGTGCAAATATCACAACCAATTGTACATTGGTGAATGAGCTAACTACTGGCAAATAGAAGGAACACAAGATAATGGTTTTTCCTTATGTGATTTGGGGAAGGAGGGAGAGCACATACCTGATTGAGATAGGTTACTTTAATAAACCATGTTGCTCTCAGCAAGGGAACATTGTTTCTGATGAGAACCTCAAATAGCGACTTTTTCCTATAGCCATGGGGAACATGATCTGCTAAAGAACAAAGGCTTTTGTGGTATTGGGATAAGCCCTGGAAATGGAAGGCACAAACATATATCAGAGGAGCACATTTAAAGCACATACGTCAAAAAAATAATCTATATAAATCAGCATATCTTCCAAGATTCTGAATTACATATTCTTTCAAATACTTTGACAATATATATCAACTCAAACTATGTTCTCCTCAGCTTAACTCTTCCAGTAAAAACAAGTTAAGTTCAGCAAAGTTAAGTTGACTTAAGCAAAAGTTCAGCAAAATTACTAAAAAAAAAAGGAAGCTAATCATGCAAGATTCAAAAATTAAAATGAGATTTTCCGATAAAGGAGAAAGCACCTCATAACAGCCGCATTTTGCTTCATTAAAGATACTATATAAAAAAATTATTATTGAGCAAGAGATATTATTTCTATAAAAAAAGTTTAACATGTTTGCCAACAAAGTAGAGCCATTACGATGTTTAACTTATCAAAAAATATCTAAATTTAACTGTATCCGAAAGTTAATCTTCATAAAGATTGAGTATACGATTGTTCACCCCCCCCCCCACCAACTCCAAAAAAAATCCCTAAAAAAGATTTTTCGTGAAAATACGCATACATTAGTGTAACTATTAGTATGAGCAATCCAGCTAAAACACATGCATGAAAATGAGTACTATAAGCAACAAAAGTAGTAATCCCTTCAACAACGAACATGTTTCCATTCATATTCGGCACAATCAGCAGAAGGCATAAGTTTTCAACTATGGACCCTACAAGTGTATTCATTAGTTCTTTGTCAAACTAAGGCCCAATTCTGTTCACGTGTTTTAACCATCAGGAACAGCTTCAGAATAAGCTGAAGTTTAAACTAAGTAATTAAGACAAATTGTTAATTGGAAGACAACCATCCAAACCCCCAAAATATGGGATCCCCATACACCTCCTCCCATTAAATTAAACCAAAAGAATACAAAAAATAGATTTTAACAATATCTTTCCTTCCGCCACGCCAGGACACACCATCACCTCTGGCTCTACACCACACCAGCCAACCATGACTTCTGCCACTACTAACACTGACCATAATCATCAAAAACACCATTCCAACAAGAAGCACCACTGCAAAATCACACTAAGCAACACCAGTTCAACAACATCCACAGCCAAAAATCAATACTTTAAACCCCTTGGATATCTACAATCAAGAGTGAAACCCTTAACATTCATTTCAGGTCATATAAGTTCCAGATCTGGAATTTCGAAAGAAAGATTGACAACCTTAGGCCAAATGTTTGCTAACCTAAAGAAAGGCCAGTGAAATTTTGCTATGAAATTTGCACATAACAGCAAACCTGTAAAATTTTAAGTACAACTGGCACTAAACCTGTAATGAAGATAGCACCATAGGTAGTACACAAGTACCAGAAACCTTAATAAAATTTTCCAGCCCACCAATACTATCAATTTCCAATAAGATACTAAGAATTAAATTATAAAAAAAAATAATAAAAAAAAAAAAAAAAAAAAAATTGAGAACACAAACCTCAATCCATCTTTTCTTAAAGTCCTCGCCACAAGACTTCTGCTCTGGAAAGACACAAGATTTACTCAACAAGGAACCAGAAAGTGGCTCTCCGTAAACTTGGCCAGCCTAAAGGATTAAATTGCAGGGCATCAGTTTCACTCAATATCACTCAATAGAAGAAATTAGGATACCCACCATCGAAAAGCAAGAAGCAAATATAAAGGCTGTGTTACAAAAAGATAATTACCTTGCGCTTCTGAGCACGAGACTCATTGATAGCTCTAAGACGTTTCCTAATTGCCTGCAACGATAAGTTTCATACACGTCAGTACAGCCAACACATCCATTAAATAACAATTAACAAAGCCATATTTAAGTTGCCAGCAGCCCCCCGGCAGTTCTCACCTCTTTGCATTTAAGAACAATAGGTGCCGTAAAAGTATTGACTTGTGTAACTGAGAGCTCTTTAGTTTCCTGCAACAGACAGAATAAAGCTACTTGCTGTAACATTCATATCTAGAAAAAAAAAACAGAAGGTAAGACGTGCTCTAAACCAATCATCCAACCGGTAATCCATGAAAAAGATAAAGTTTGTTTACACTTTTCACTATCATAAAAGAGATCAATTTTGTATATCTTCAAAATGACTATAATAAGTGTCTTCTGTAAATACGGATATTTTGCGTTCTATTGGAGAGGTCAAAGGAGGCTTGACAAGAAAAGCCCAGTAAAACAAAGGAGAATGTGAACAAAGAGAATGAAAAATGCCAATTTTGATTACCTCAAGCCCTTCAACTGTTTCTCTGTAACCAGATTGCACATACTCCTTGGTAAGAGTCTCCTCCGGACAATTGACAGTTTGTGGATGAAAGTCAGGTGCACCAAGGCTAAACAGCAACAGAGAGATGAAAAACAAGAAATCAGAAGCAAATAGCACAAATACATTGAAGAAGAATCTCAGTGTTTATTCACTTTGCATTGGGACAGCAAAGCTGTTGATGAAGAAACAAAAGGAAAAGAAAACGTCATCAAAATAGAAGCAGTGAATCCAGTGATTAAACAATCTTATATTTTCACTCTAAAATTTCATTCAATTCAACATTTCAGAATCTACAGCATTTTTCATTCAAGAAAACCATTATACCACTATATATAAATAAAATTACAACCACACAAACTCCATTCAGATATAATTATGTTGCAGCAGACAGGGAGGAAAAACAGGATTAATTCAATGTCCTAATATGCAATAGAATAATTCCTAGTTTAGTCAAATCTACTAAACTAAAATAAAAGAAAAAAGTACCGAGAGTTGAGTGACTCCTTCTCGCACTTCAACTTATATGGTGTAAGTGGTGAAGTCCGCCTGTAAGAGTTTACAAAAAAATGAATTATAGTGTTGCAAAAGTAAATTGACCTGCAGACTGTCTTTAATGAACTAAGTTCATATTGATTATAGATTCCATCAATTTTGAGATCGGATTGGGATCAAATCTCTATCATTAAAAAAAATAAAAAATATATTAAAAAAAAAATAAAAATAAAAAAAAGTCGTTGCTGTGCAGATCTGAAACAATTAACTTATTTTTTCTGATGGTATGCCATTGCATAACAACAAAATATCAAACATAGGGGCAAAATCAAAAGTATTCATATGCCTATAAACCTAACAGAAACCTGACCTTAGATATAATACTTAATGGGGAAGACAAGACACCTGACCTTAGATACAGGAAAGGAGCGACCATCACAATTCACAATACATAAGTAGGAACAGTAACAATCCTGATATCAATACCAGACAGACACTACCCAAACCTAATAGGAAAAAAAAATAATAGAAAGAAATGTTCCGTAATCAAGGGTGTGACAACATGATATATAGCACCAAAAAGCTGAGTCAAATATCGGAGGTAAGTTAGCGCCAAACACCTCTCGCACACAACTCCCCTCCCTGCCCAACAACTGTAAAGTGAAATTCTGAAATCATCAAATTCTGAACTTAAATATGATTGCATCAGACTGTTTTCACATTATCGACTGCTTGCTAGTGGAATCCTCTTCATAAAGAAAGACTAAGCACCTCCAGTCTCAAAGTCTAGAAGGAGAAAACACTACATACATATTCCTTTTCTAAATCTCTAAATCAAACAACTTGATCCAGACTGTCAAAGTTTAGCATTGTTCAAACAATATCCAAGCAGAAGTACTGTCATGAGTAATTGAACAAAACAATTATTTCGTATTCCAACACAATCAATAGTGCCAAAAAGGTATATTATCCAAAATACTTCGCGGGTTATAGTTCGGTGATCTATAATGGAAATGTCACACCATAAGGTTTCAACTTGCATAGCTTTAAAACAAAATTCACGATATCCAAAACTAAAGTAAGAACGATATACCTCGAGTTTAAAGAGAAGTTGGCAGACAAAGACGGATCGTTCCGAGCATTAGTATCTCTATTGGAAATGCCCCCAATAGCAGTGTTGTTATTGACAGCACTAGTGCAGCTAGCAGCATGATACCTTTGCATTTCTCCAAACTACCAGCAGCATACTGCCTACACCATTTACCCACTATGATTTTCTGCAATTGCCAGTCCCAAAAACTGCCATTCCACCCAAAATCTGCACTCATCACTAACCAGTACCAAAAAAAAAAAAAAAAAAAAGCTCCATACTTTGCAAAATATATATATATATAAAAAAATAAAAAATTTGAACATAAATAAAATCATAATTACCTGAATCAATAAATCAGACCTCTTGAAGAGAACAATCCACTTCAAATCATAAACCCTAATTTCCGATACAAAAATCGAAAATCCCCAAATCAGCACCAATTAAGAAGCCCTAGAAATCGAATGAACACAAAATTAGGGTTTCCAACAGTCAAGATCAAGTAAAAAACCTAATTGACGAAAAATTAGGGTTTTTCCCCAAAAATCAAAATCACGAAAATTCCCAAGTGAGAGATGAATCTGCACCTTCGAGAAAGTGAAATTGAAGGGTAATTGATTAATGGAAGCTCGAAAAAAAATGTGGGAGTTACAGGTGATGTAGATGACGACGAAAATCCAAGAAATTCTGGGAAAAAAAATTGTTCGAAAATTTTTGGAATCAACGATAAAAGAGCACGAGGCAAGAAGAAATCGGAGGCGAGATAAATTTTTAGACGAGGAGAGAGAAAGAAAGACGGATGTGGGGATATTTTTTCTTTTTTATTTATTTCTTTAATTAATTATTTAATTTAATTTACACTATGATCTTATATGATACACTAGTACGATTACTTGACTTGCTTACTAACTACGAGTCATGCTAATTAGTAAATCCTAAATGGAGTATGAAATCTATGGGAATTAGCGAGTTTGAATTGTTTGTTAATCTTAAACTTGTATAGTTGTATGATACACTAGTACGATTAATAAACTTGCTTACTAATTACGAGTCATGTTATGTGTGAAATCTGATCTACAAGATTTAGTGAGTTTAAATTGTTTGTTACTATTAGGTAATTGACGAGATAACATTTAAATGTAGCACAAACTTTTTAAAAACAACTTGAAATTATGAAAGTAGAATTGAGATTAGTGTGTTTGTAATAACATTATAATTACTATGATCTGATGGGTAAAGATTCTATAAATGAATTTGATTGTTGCATACAATATAAATTTTGTTTCATCTGTCAAGAAAGGCTAGCAAAGCCTCGATTAAAGAGTAGCATGGGTGACATTAATTATTTTTGCGATTAATGATAATGGCTATCTCTATAATTTGTTCTGTTCTGGTGGCTCAAATTATTGGAGAAAGGTAATTAGTTACTAAATTTGTCCAAACTAAGAAAGGAAAAAAAGTTTATTGTCATAAATTTTTTTCTTTTTTGAAAATATTAAGAAATGGCTTATAAAGTATGATTAATAAAAGGATATTGACTTTTCTTTAAAAGAAACAATTGAACTAATTGAGGCATGTGAGGTTCTTTGTTATTGAATAATTGTACGTGCGTGGTTACTAGATTAGGGTTTCAATACATTGACTGTAGAGAATGAACTTTACAAGAATTTTATTGCAATTGTGTGAAAGGAATATTAAGTAAAGTCCTATTTTTATTTTCTAATTATTTATATTTTTTATTATATATAGATAATCTAACTTGCATTACAATTTCACTTAACTACAATTAGATTTTTTTATTACTTCCTTTGAAAATGCCAAGAGACGAGTTGGTTATAACTTATAACCCTAATGTTAAATACTCCTACACCAAACACCACTCAAAGGCGGCCCTCTTTAAATATGGTGGTTGGGAGGGGAGAGGGAGTTCTTACATCAATAGCCTCTAGCAAAAATTGATTTTTTACCATAACAAAAGCTTAAGAGACAATTTATACAACCAAACCAATTCAAATTGAATGATCCATTGTAGTAATGAGAGAATTGACAACCTCGACATTATTCGAATTGTTCACAAGAGACGAGGAAAGAGAATACTATAGGAATGGTAATAATAATGGCAATGTTAAAATTCTCCATAGCAAAGAGCACTTCACAATTTGTAATTTTTCATATAAATGCATCATCATTTTGGACTTTGGTTTATTTATTTATTAATTTATTTTTATTTCATTATTGTAGAATTGGTTGAAGTCTTAGATCAAAAGAAATTATATCAAATTAAACCATAAATATTTATAAGTTGAAAATAAAACATCAAAGTTGTTAATTTATTTTCTCCAGTTATATAGGCATCCTCATAAATTCACACTATAAGGTAAGAAGCCTTCCACGAAATATTGATTAATGTTACCATCAAATCAACAATAAATGGTATTCTCTTAAGAGCAATTAATAATTTACCATGATTGCCAATAACTTTAATTTCCAAATCCACCACCACTTCAAAGCTTCATACATGCAAGGATATATACATCACTAATCCTTTTCAAGTTCATAGTTAAGACCAAATCAAATAACCAAGAACTCCAAATCAACCGTAACACTAAAATCAAAATTTAGCAATGTATGTAACCATTATTAGTATACTATATCTAGAAATCAAATGAAAAACATGAAAACAAAGGTAAAGCATTTTTTTCTTTGAAAGAGCTTACCATTCGCTCATGTTATTACTATCCCCTGCTTCCTCATCTTCATCCATAAGTTGACGATCAGCAAGCAACTCATCCAGAGGAATGGAGGGGAACTCGTCTCCATCGGTCATAGAAGCTGATTCCGATGCTTGGTAGTCCTTATTCGAGTACAACGTTAACCCGAACCTCAGATCAGGGTTCTCTTCCAAGTCTCTCAAGAATTCCTCATACTCATTAGCCTCTTTTTCTTGCTCATTTTTACCTTCGGCAGTGTCATCAGCCTCCATATTAAGCTTCTTAAGCTTCCAAGCAGTATGACTTCAGGAAGAATAAGGCCTTTGTTCTTGTCCAACTCAGAGTCATTATGATTCGCGCCATAAAGATCATAACCAAGGGCATAGTCTCCGGGACTAAGTAGATGGCCTTTGTTCTAGCACAATGTACTTCACTAGACGCCTGCTAGAGAGCAGGCTGTCGAAAGGTGACTTCCAATATTGATCAGCATCTAGGAAGCAGTACCTCAAGGTGTTTGGATCCATCAACATTAAACTGTTGGTTACTTTTGTGCAAATCACAAGAGGGCCTATATTCCCATGACTAGCAGCCACTCTAGGAGGAAGACATATAAGGTCTTCGCGACAGATGGGGCTGATATCAACTGAGAAAGTGTACTTGTACCTGTAAGTATTGCTCTTCGAATCCTGAGACACGAGCTCTTTGTCACTGCGACTTTTGACAGGAGCAAATTTACCAATAAAATCCACAAATTTCAACCCATGACTTCTGTTGGAAAAAAAGAAGTCAATTCCATTATGCAACTGCTTAATCCTGATAGCTTCATTGGCAGCATCATGCTTAATAATAAGCTGTTCTAAATACAAGAAAGTCCTCCTGTGCGAAACATGCTGTCGCAGTTGAACTGATGCAACCCACTGATCTGGATTAGACTGTATCCTATTACAGTAGGAGCACATTTGGTAGAGCTTGACATAGATTACATGATAAGCTCTCTCTAAAACCGCCCCACGAAGCACTTCTTTCTGAATTCTTAGCTTCACCTCAAGCCTCTTAGACTTTTCTTCTCTCCAAACAAACTCAGCATCCACCAATGTGACTTTAGCCTTGGCCAAATTCAGCCTCTTCAGGCAGAATGTCAGGAGTTCCTTTGACTCTGGATCAGCCCTGACTCGAGTATTCGGAGGCTGCAAGTAAGTTTCACATTTAGGGCAATATGAGATTCTCACTTGCTTCTGCAAACCTTCTGTGATATCGATTTCGGAACACAAACACCTCACACACATGTTGGCTGCATTTGGTTGCATAGAGATGCCACATTTGCAGCATAGAACGTTGCCATGGGTTTCATGTACTAGAAACATACCATTTCCCTCTGACATTGCTTCAGATTACTGAGAACCCTGGAATGTTATTAAATCAGTGTTCATATGAAACATTATTTGCAACGATTTGACATAATATAGAGAAGAAAAATGACTAATCGTTGCAAATAATATGAAACGGAGGTAGTATATGCATTAGAGCGGAAAAATTGAAGTTACAGCAAAAAAAAAAAAATTGAAGTTAATTAACTATATAGACTGCTCAAATTGATGATTTGTAAATATATGATTTAACCAAAAAAAAATCCAAATATGTGAATAATGCAAAAATCGAGGTGAAACAACTATAGACTGATGAAACTACAGAATAAAAACCCTATCATCACAATTGTCCACCATAAGTGTTAAATTAATTCTGCTGATTATTTAAAAACTGTAACGTGTAACAATTAATCAATTGGCCTAGTGCAAATATATATTTATATGACTTTGGCCGCATATACCTGATAAGTGCGACGGCTTAGTGCAGTCCTGCCCTGGATTAGTGTATGTCAACAGGAGGCTACGAGTCGTGGCCGATAGGCCGTCGCAGCGTGTGAGAGATTGAGCGCGCCTGTGTTGGTTGCGTGATATAGGACCAACTAACACTGGAAAGTCTCACGTCTGAAGTAGAGTAATTTTTTTTTACGTCTTATATAGTTTTCCACCTGCTGGTCTTTGTTAGACTCTTATTAGGGTTTTTTCTCATTCATAATTTATATTTGAATTCCTAAAAAATAAACTTTGTGACCCTATGCTTAGGCCCTGTTTGATTCACCTTAATTTTGCTGAACTGAAATTATTTTTACTGAACTGAACTTATTTTTACTGAACTGAACTTAATTTTACTGAACTGAAATTATTTTTACTGAACTTAAATTATTTTTACTGAACTTAAATTATTTTTACTGATTTTCTATTATAATTCTTCTTTAAGAAAACTGAATTTTACTGAACTGAACTTATTTTTACTGAACTGAAATTAATTTTACTGAATTGAACTTATTTTTACTTAATATTATTTTTTAAGGTGAATCAAACGGGGCCTTATACTCCACAATCTTAAAAATATCCGAATTTTAACTAAAATTAATTATAGGCCGAGTAGTGTTAATTCCGTGTTGTTATCAACACTAATCTGACTTATTTGGACTTATTTGAGTAATTAAATGTATTGTTGTACAACACGTTAGAAACCCTCCATTTTTCGTTTCTAGTTTGCATTGTCATATCTTGTCAACGTTGTAGTTTGAAAGACATAACTAGGCTAATGTTTTTGCTCTTCTAAGCTCCGATCATCTAGAGTTAAGACATACGGAGTAATGACTTTGTAGTAAGTTGTAAGATATAGCATAAAAATGAGGCAGAGGTTTTGAGAAGATACACTATTACTAAATATATATAGATGTGTATATATGTGTGATTTTCACTTCCATCTTTATTTCCTAATTACACACGCTTATACACTCGGTTATAGCTATAACATGATATAATCAAGGGGAGGAATAAACTAAAACCAATCAGCCCCGAGAAACACCCAAGTAAAAAATGTACAAACAGAAACTATAAACCACCACACACCCTTCAAAACGCTACACACACTAAATCCTATAAACTTCTCAAACAATCAATGTAGTTTCCACGACTTCGAATGCATTGGCCCAGCATGAACCTGTCGGAAACCTGTTGTGTCAGCTATTCACTTCCTACAGCATTTACCGAAAAGTTGTTCCAGCCAACTCTTCGTGAAACTAGGTGGTACGTTATCAGCAATCCGATGTTACTATTGTTCCAAGTTAGGAAACACGAGCTGATCTCAGATTCTTGCTCAGGAACTCTGATGTATTGTTAGGTTGCAACCTATTCTACTTTGCTCCCATGAGTCTTTCTAACTGCCCGGATTTCCAAAGGGAGCTCCTGGAAGGAAGTCAATCGCAGTCATACCTCAACGTCAATGTCAATATCCTTTGCTACAGCCTGTTGGATGACGGAAGATTCACTCTCCAATCCCGCAGTATCAAAGCTCAAAATTGTTTCCTGCACCAGTTCTTCGAGAATGGCTTCTTGTATTCGAATCCCAATGCACTGACAATCAAGCTGCAGGTCCAACCATTTCCCAGGTTTTTCTAAGTCTTTTTCGACAATCTGGTCTAGCGTTCGTGGGGGTCCCTCCAGCTTTAAGTACCAGTCGACTCTCTTCCATATCTCAGTAAATATATCTTTTCCTTTTAACTCTGGTTGAACGTATGGCATTGTAAGTGATAGCAAGCAGCCAAAGTTCAAACAACAGATCTCGATAAGAACTTCATTGATAAGATCAAAGAGAACATTGAAGTCACAAGAAAGCAGGTCTGGGAGAAAATCGACTTCATCAAGCAATGATGGATCGACAAGATGATCCGAGAGAATCGACCTTTGGAGAAGCTCCTCCCAAGACAAACCAGACATTTGGACCACAGCTTTAACAAACTCAATCGTATACTTGTCATCATGCACACAAGTCCTGCAGCTTAAAACTCGTTCTAAAGGTGCAGAAATTTCTTCTCCAAACCTTATTTGTCGTGGTCGAATAGGCTCTACAGATGCAAATTTTAAGACCATTAGTTGCCTCATTTTGATGCATATGCAAGTAATCCAACTACTATATTAGAATAAAGTCTTACCATTCGAATACTTGTTGCCAGGAGGGCTAATGTCATCTTCTTGGAATAATGGGTCGAGAACAGATATGGGACTTTGCCTGCTTGTTGCATCACTCGCGGTATCTAGATCTTCATCATTCTCAGTCAATTTACAAATAAGTGGTGACGCATTTGAAGACGATGATGGTTTGTTCTCTTCACATAAATCCTGCAGAAAATCAAAGAAAACAGTTAAGCGCTATTGCAATGGTTTGACAGAGACAGATGAAAGGGAAAAAAAAAGACATAAGGTATTAACCTCTTTTAGGATTGTTGGATGCAAATTTTTATCGGAACATGTTGAGCAGCTACTATCTTCCTGATCATTCTTCTTAATGGGAGATGGTGAGAATTGTTCAGTGGAGATTTCCTTCGCATCACTCTCTTTCGGTGACTGTGCATCAGGAGATCTAACAGATACCACGGGAACTACAAAATTGCAAGAATTCACACTTAATATTCTACATAAATGTAAAGCACAATTCTGAGAATCTTAAATTGGAGTAAAAGGCATACCTTCAGAAGTCAAAGCCTCAGTTTCGCAGGTAGGCTCATCATTATTCCTTTCGTGAGGAAGCCCTTCAATAGTAAGAGTTTCAATGATGGAAACATCAGCTTCATGGACAGGTTTGTCAACAGCTATGCATAGCTCATTTTGTGACTCTTCCTTCACTTGAGCTGGATGGCTGACATAGCTTGTTTGCGTGATTTGAGATGACTTCTCATCGCCTGTTTGACATTCCCCATTGGGTGGCGATTTCATACCTCCCTCTGTTCTAGGACTGCATATAGGAGAACTGTAGCCGGAATAAGCAAGTATTTTCCCAAGAGACCTGGGCCCTTTTTTGTTAGGAATATCTGCATCTATGTCACCATTTCCTACAATCTCAGCAAGATGCTTCCTAGCTTCAATATAAATGTTGGATACCCTTTGCTCAGGAGTAAGAGCACTGTCATCTTTTAGCTTTCCTGTCTTGCCAACTGAAGTTTTAGGTATTTTTTCGATAAAGAAATGGTCTCTACTAGGAGAAGCCATTCCAATCAATTCTCCACTAAATTTCTTCTCTTGATTGGCCAGAGTAGGATGATCATCTGACGGTTGATGGGACAACCTATGTTGCTCTTTCCTCATGGCATGTTTCAATTTTCTCTTAAACTCGGAAAAGGAAAAGGGGGAATATGATCTTTCAAATTGACCTTTGTCTCCTTTGGTCTGAGGAGATCCTGGTAATGAACTGCACAGGGAGGCCGTTTCAGAATTATTTGAGCTTGGTGGACCCGGTTTTAAAACAACAATTCTGTTTATATCCTCTGAAGTATCGGTTTTTCTTGAGGAATTTCTCTCCAAGCCCTTAAACCTCCTCCAGAAGTTCTGTTGTTTAGCATTACCAATATCTTGCTGTAGCATGTCAGACCCTGTCAGCACTTTGAACTTGCCTTCTTCAACTTCAATATCCTGCGAACTTTGTATGTGTTTCACCAACTGTGAGTTTGGATCCTGTAGGAGCTTCAGAAACAAATCTTTGTGTGAATTCAGAATCTGAAGGGCATCGGTGAGTTCTTTTGAAGGTTGAATTTTACCATCTTTACCGGAGCTATTTCCATCAGTAAAATGATTCACCAACACCTTTGTTGATTCCCACAATTTTCTCTCTATGACAGAAGGATCTTCTGTGGATTGGATGGTACATTCTCTATCTTGACCATGCTTCTGACAACTGGTACCCTTTTGGTGAATCCTGTTACATAGTTCTTCCACAATTACATTTAGGTCGACACTACCACAGGATTTGTTCTTTCGGTGGCTAGGCCTTTCAGCTTTTAAGTCCTCGGCTGCAACAAAGCCACTAGCATCTAGATCAAGGGACATCTTATTTCTCATCCATCGGCGATTCTTCTTCACATTACCTCCGTCACCTGTTGTATTCAGCTTTGCTTCTCCATTAGCAATTTTCTGATCTTGCTCCCCAAGCATCTCTTCCTCCATTAGTTCTTTCACGCTCAATTTACTAATGTCGCTTGCTGCTGTTTCACATTGGACCGAGCCCTAATAAATGTACCAAATTATATACACACCATTAATGACATGTACAGCCAAGCACAAAACAAATTCATACTATTAAAAAAAATTATTCATCCCATGACAAATCATGTTAGGGACCTATAAGGCTATAAGCATGAACCTATTGTGTTCCAGAACATCAACAAAAAGAAAGTGAAGAGGATTGAGAAAGAACAAAGAAGAGGAACTTACTTCATTGTCATTACAGATTTCACATGAATCAGTCAATGTCTCAAGATTAATATTCGCATATGCAGTCCCTGCACAGAACATGAGAAGATTTGGTTCACTCCACAGTTGCCAGGTAAGATAACACAGACACCAAAATCGGCTACCAAACAAACACTAATACGAAGTATATTCCCGAGTCTTAATATCAGGATCAAGTGAATAATAGATTTCATATGTGCTTTCATTTCTTATACTACGTAATATAATTCTCTCCAGCACTGAAGGCTGAAGGTCAATCTATGTAAATATATAACGATACACTAGAGCTTCCAAAGATAGATTTGCTTAGCAATGACCACACAAAAGCAGACCACGGAATTGATAATAAAGAGATCTAAATCATGGCCACACATTATGAATTACTATTAGATCAGAAGACCTTCCTACAAGATTGAATACTGTAATCCAACACCTACTGTAAAATTTTACTCACAACTAAAAATTCTCAAAATATAAACAGAATATATTACCATCTAGTCGCCTGCTCCCCCGCTTCTTGTCCACCAGCAATTTTTGTGAGGAGCGACCATGGCGGAAATCAAAGATACTAATCAAACCCCACATACATCCTGACTGGTCCTTCTGGTATCTGGCAACCTTTTTTCTTGATCCCTTTGCCATAGTTAGCAGCAAGTACCTTAGCCAGAAACTCCTACCTATCCACATTGGAAAGCAAATCCATCAATGATTGCAGAAAAAACTATCATATAATTCCATGGAAACCATCTTAAAACAAACTCATCCAATCTTATTCCCCAAAAATTACAGTATAAATCAACGAAAGCGAGACGAGCTGAGTTTCACTAGTTCAATTAGGCAAATCCAACAAGCCAAACATCAAAAGGCATCAATGATGCAAAGTTAAAATCAGTTCAAAATCGAAAAATTCGATATACAACATTAACTTTTGCAAGCAAGGTAGTAGAGATTAAGATCACAACATCACATTGATTCATCTCCATAAGTGACCTTAACTTTGTGTGTGTGTGATTTTTTTTTTAGTTTTTTTTTTTTTTTTTTTTTGAGCAAGCATAAAAATTTAGAATCTAGCATAAACAAAGATAAAATCATATGATCTACAGGACAAATTCAAGGAGACAAAATTTAAATAAAAAAAAAATAGAAATTACTACAGAATTAAATTTTTATAAATGATGATGATAAAAAACCAAAACAGACACTTACAGTAAGATGAAGAAGCAAAATTACCTGAAAATAACAAAAATCTTCAAATTTAATAAAACCCCACCACCAAGAATATATCAAACCTTCATCTGATAGCAAGGAATCAATACTTCCAACAGTAGCACGTTCCCACTCATAAAACAGGAACAATTCCAAAAAAAAACAAAAAAGATGCCAAACCCTCAAAATTGGACAATCTGATCTTCACTTAAGAGAAAACCAAAAAGACCAAATTTCCCCTTCTTATAAATTTAAGCACTCCAAATTTCCAATTCTTCAATCATCACTAAAAATAACCCGAATTCGTACACGATACATTCGTTAAAACTCGAGTAATCTCGAGGATATAGATGAATTGGAGAATAACCCAGCTAAAGATTCAGCATTGAATTCCCTAAAAAAAAAGAAAAAAAAAAGAATCAAATTGGGGGTTTATTTTCTTCCACTCCAAAAATCATATCATAAAATTAAAGTGGCAAAAAGGAAATTCCAGACTGTAATCATTGTAAGAAGAAATAAAAAATTGACAAAATTCCCCAACTTTAACTTTGCTGAAAACCGACCCAAAAAAGAAAAGAAAAGAAAAGGTCCAAATCCCAAATAATGGTGGGGTAATTTAATTGAACACTACTGAACCTCTTTTCTTGTAAAATTCTACAAATAATGTACAAAATCCCATGTGAGTAGCTTCCATTAAATTCTGATCAAATCAAATTGGGAAAATACAATCACAAAAAAAGTGAATTTTTGACAAATGTTAGGGGTAAACAATACTGTAAGACAGATGATATCTGGGACCCACTTAAAAAATCATCACTTTTTTTAAAAAAAAAAAAAATTCGGTTTGCTTCAAGAAGAATCTGACACCATTTTTTTATCCCAGATTTTATTTTTTTTTTGGGTTGAGTTTTGAGTGTACCCACCTGGGATTATGATAAAAAATCAGAGCTTTTAAGTTTATCTCTCCTATTTTTATGTAAGAAAACAAAAAACCCAGAAATGGGGGTTTTTGCTTGCTTCATCAATGGAAATTTTTTTGTGAATGTGATGATTTTAATGGAGGTGATGAGAGAGAAAGTGAAAGGGATGAAGAGAGAGAAATAGAAAGTGGAGGTGAGTTTAGCTTTTTGACTTTTTGTAAAGGAGGACAGCAGGATTGCAGGAAAGGGTATGAGGTGTAAATAGATAATGTTTTCGAGGGTATTTTTGGAAATTGATGGGGGTGAGTTGGTGGTCGTGCGAGTATAGATTTGGGGATTTGAGGCTCCTGCGGATCGTAGTTTCTCCTACTCCGTATGTCCTATCGAACCGTTCGAGGCGACACGTGCCTTGTATATGTTTGAAAATTCTTACACTTCTCCGTTAATTTTTAGTTGTAACATAAGCATTATTTTAGTCTTACAAATAATACGGAGTATCCTTTATTACAATTGAAAATTAATGAAAGTGGTATTTTGTATATACTCGGATGTAAAATATAATCAATGATAATTTTTCATTTTTTATTTGTTGATTATGTTCAATTTAATGAGGTGCCCCTTGCACCCAGGGTGATATAGACGAATCTCCGTACTATATCATCAATGTAAGGTATCAAATAAGAAAATAATTACGTAAATTGGCTTACCTGTGTCAGCGAGACTAATGAACTTCGTGCAATAGTTTTTTTTTTTTTTTGGGAACGTGTTCACCCCTACATCTCCAAATATGAAAATTAGATGATACACCCGGGTGCACCATGCTCATAGTGCACCCGGGTAAACAAAAAAAGGCGAAAAGAACATATAGTGTTTGATAAAGAACATACCAATGTTTGGCAAAAAACATACCTTTAATATGTTCTTTGAGTGTGATCAGTGTGTTCTTTGAGTAAAATTATATGTTCTTTACCTTATAACTTATGTTATTTAACATATGTTGATAAACATATATGTTTTTTTTGGTTTAATAATACAAAGTATGTTCTTTGAATTTGGCGTGTATGTTCTTTAAGGTCGTAGTGACACCCAAATTCTATTTTTATTATCATATGTCATATTTAAATTACTTTTATTATCGTACATTCTTTGAGTTTGATTAGTGTGTTATTTAGGTATTAACTATATGTACTTTACAATATAAATTATGTTCTTTTAACATATGGTATTTGAAATTTGATATTGAATCTTAAATTATTTTTAATTGAAAATAATATTAGAGTAAAAAAAAACTAAATTATTAAGGGAAGTTGAATTTTTTTTGGAGAGATAGAAAACTATTTTTTGGAAAAATGATATCTTTGGTAAGGATTTTTTAAGAGGTGATCAACATTGGCATGACTTGCATCCCGACCCGATCCGGCCCGAAATAGGGTGGGTTTGGGCAAACCTAAAAATGCATTTTTAGTTAAAACTCAAATCGGGTTAGAAAAAAGCCCGAAAACCCGCTACTTTTCTACGGTTTTGGGCACGATAAATTATGATATGGCCCGGCCCTACTAGATTTTTTATCACCTCTAAATTTTTTCCGTTAATAATGTGTATTTCAGAAAATTTAATTAAGTTTTTATCTCGTTCTTTTAATTATATCTTTATGTTCTTTGGTAATGCATGTTTTTGTCAAATACAAACATGTTCTTTATTAAATACATGTATGTTCTTTATGAAACACAGGATGTTCTTTCCGCCTTTTTTTATTTATCCGGGTGTATGATGAGCATTGTACACCCGTGTGTATAAACCACGGATTATCCAAATATACTTTTTTGTAGTAAAATCATAAATCCAGCTTGAATACGATTATAAGAAAGGAGACAAGGAATCTCCACGGAGTATTTCACTAATTATAATACTATATGAGTATATGACATACCAAAGGGCTTAGAGCACAATTTATCGGATAATATTGAATATTAATGCATGCTTTATACTTAATTAGTTCATTTTGAATAATATCATTTTATAGTTTTATGGGCATTCAATCCTAATCTGCATGGTTGCATGAGAATGCAACTAGATTTGCCAAGTTACCTTTCTAACTGTTTGCTTCTAATTGCATTCTCTAGGTAGTTTGTCTAGTCACAACCAATATAATGATCCCAATTTTGACTTGATTAATTACAGGTTGCCTCAAAATTATAATTACTACTATTTTTTCTTGTAATTCAAGTTTTCCAACTGTTTTTTGTTTAATAAAGTATATAAATTATCCCTAACTAATGCATGATTCTATCACCTTCAAGGTCTCATAGAGTCATAGTCATCCATGCATGATGCATCGTTGATCGTTATTTGATCTCCAACTGTTAAACTATATATAGCGATGGCTTGATGCTAACAAGTAACGACTCATCAAATCATCACTGCATTATTAAAAAAAAAAAAGGGTTTGAGTTTTACCTATTGGTAGTCTTAAATATACGAGAGGTTGTTATTATTATATACTCGGGTGTACCGTACACCCATGAGTATTTGTTCTCATTTTAAGATTGTTTTTCGTTTTATCATCAAATAAAGAGCAAAAACTAACTTTAATTAGTTGGGTCGTGTACGGTACACCCGGATGTATATAACAAATTCTATAAATATACTACATACTTCTTTTCTTATCTAAATCAGGCTATATAGTCGATTTAAATCAGGTAATATGTGTCATAAAAATATTTAAGTCATGTATGCAGTAAGCACAAACACTGTATAATGTACGTATACGTTTGTCATACTATAATAATCATCTAGCTAGCTAGTCATTATTTATTTTATTTTTTTTGTTTTTGACAGAAATAGCTAGTCATGTTTATTATTACGGATTAACAATAAAGGAATTTGATTTTAATTAGTACTTAAAGTGTTGTACAATTGCAACTTTGCAAGGTAATAAGAACCAATACGGTTCAATGCAATTAATGTCATTTCTATACATGTCATGTAAAAAGTAACATTGAGTCTCGCCATTTTATGTCCACATACATATTACCAATTAGTTGTTGGTGTAGTGGTAATTGAGACTACACTTGGTAGAGAGGGCTCATATTATTCGATCCCCCGCAACAACAATCGGGAGGGGAGTGGAACATAACAACCCAAAACTAATCCCCGAATCCGGATTAGCCCAAAGGGTGAATCGGGTGGAACACCAAAAAAAATGTCCACATACATATTAATCAATATTATATTTAATTTTATATCCTTGCAGAAAAATATATGTATATATATGTATCAATTGACAATAAATGTTAGTTAAGAATTTAAAGAATGGTTTGGTAATTAATTTAAAGGATTTTCTTTTGGACGGTAGAAAGTAAGAGAATAGTTGATGGTTTCTTAACATTCAAATCTAGTTTTGACCAATAATAAAGAGAAATTCAATTCTAAAAACTTGAATTATATGTATGTACTTATCTTAATTTAAACACGGCACTGCAACGCATTTACTTAGCTTCTCTACTACTCCTACTCTACTTTGACGAATCTATAATCTTTTAAGAGAATAAAATGTACTATTATGACAATTTCATGGGATAATTATTTTAATTTAGTGATCATAATCATGATGAATTGAAGACTGATTATGCTTAAATTTGAATTAAAAATAATTATTGTAATTCCACCAATTGGAGCCATAATCACTTGATCTGGGAGAGCTTAACAATTTATAGTCTCATGATGAACATCATTTCATGTCTTCCCCTCCTTTTTAAAAGTGTAATGTTATTTTATTGAACAGATTCCATTTAAGTCTGATATACTATAGTTTATTATTCAACTAATTAAATTAAAGTACTTTGTTTTATTAAAAATATCATTCATATACACTATTATGTCACGATTTTATTTATTTTTAATATATCCAGGTTGCATATGTAATACACTCCGTGATAGTAATTTATCATATACGACGTACGTAATCCAAGTATATACACACCGACACATAAACACACTTCCATAAAATTAAACTAAGAAAGCTAGCGAAAAGCTGAGCTCAATTAGGGTCCTCCTTACTCCACATATGTGTCCGTATATACATAATTATGCATATGTATTTATTTCATATTTATATTGTATACATTTTTATTTTTTTTATTTTTTATTTTCACACTGATACTATTATACTGATCGAATTATATATAAATATAAATTATTATATTTCTTTCCGAACTTGAACCAAGCACGTGTCAAACACTAGTTGTGTGACCATTATATTAAGTAGAGTACTAGAGTCCATACATAAAATGATCCTAAATTTGCCCTTGTTATATATAAGGAAGTGAGCATTGAAAAAATTAAATACATGTTCCTAAATTGATAGAAAGGTACAAGACATGCAACTATATATACAAGTCATAATAAGTGGGGAAAGAAAATGAAATATGGGCATGCAATTAAGTTTGAGGAAATGGAATTATATTTATATCTACCCTTGAACTATCGGCATGCTTTCTACAATTGTGCACCCTTCACTCACTCTCTATCCCTCATTTTATCGTGTTTGAGGACTGAGGTCTGGACCATCGATCACCTAGGAGACGCCTATGCTGATTTTGATACTTAATTATACTACTCCCCTTCTTCGTTCCTTATTGTTTGTTTCATTTGTCTTTTTCATTTATATTTTATATATATGGTAATTAAATACTATAAATTTAAGTAGTAATATCTTTAATTGCGTATGATTAAAATACGTATATATATATATATAAAAAAAAAAAAACTTATATACTTCGATATTAATATTACATAATGAAAATAAAGTGTTTGGGTTCAATTAAGCCAATTGGACCTAGTCATTGAATGATCCAATATTCCAAGGTCAAGGCCCAAGCCTCCATCTAAGCCAAGTCAGCATAAGTCAAGTGGTCCAAATTGTTATGGTCAGCCCATGGCCATTTCCGGCCCAAATATCCTCCTTCCTTGTATGCTAAGGTATAAAAGCCTTCAACTATGTCATATGTCAGATATTCACATTAAAGTCTCAAGCATTAAATCTCTTGCATAGCTTTCTCTCTCTAAACACTGTTTGACTTCGGCATCGGAAGGGTCTTCCTCGGATCCACCCCCGAGGTCAGTTTACGTGTATTTGCTGTGCATGAAACTTTCGGCCCAGCATCATTTGGACCGGAATAGCCTTCACCCACTTCATTGGACCTTCGACAAGGTCCCATTGTTTTCACCCGAAACAATTTGGCGCCGTCTGTGGGGAAGACTTTCAAAAAATCTTTAAGCCAATCAAAATCATCTTGTAAAAATCTTAGTAGCAATGGCTAAGAACCGCAAGAACAAGAGACTAAGTCAAGGAGCGGGCGAAAGGCCTAAGACTCCTACACCATCACCGGACCGGAACTCCTCTAAGGGTGCCAGTTCAG